AGAGAGAGAGAGAGAGAGATTCAAGTGATTAAGTGATTAAAGTGATTAGTTTGTCAAAATTATGCTTTTTTGATTAAACTCCAGCAGCAGCCAACCTCATGAATGAGTAGATGAGCGGGTTGAGCATCGAATGGGCGCAGGAGATCCAGTGACAGAAGAAGTAGGAGAAGACAAAGACGTAGTACTTGGTGGGTGAGCTGGCGGCCAGAAAGTTGGGCGCAAAGAAGACCAGTATGTTGAAGATCTGAATGGGCAACCAGCAGAGGGTGAACACGCCAATGATGGTGATGAGCATCTTTAGCACCTGGGGAATGCAAATCATAATGATAANTGTTGAAGATCTGAATGGGCAACCAGCAGAGGGTGAACACGCCAATGATGGTGATGAGCATCTTTAGCACCTGGGGAATGCAAATCATAATGATAACAAATGAAAAGGATGATGATTCATTTTGCAAAATATTTTTGTTTATAACGTTTTTTGTGTTGGGCTACTTTAATTAGTGTCACTCACTGGTTGTGCTTTTGTGTTATGGCAAAGAAAGAGTCACGCTAATGATGCACTGACAGGCAACAACAAAAACAGCGTTGATAGAAATACTGCAAAAACTATGGTGACAAACGGCTTACACACAGAGACGTGCATCTATTCAAATCCTGGTTGACATTTTGGAAAATAATATTTACCAATGTTTAACTTAATTTAAAGTTCATTTGAACAATATAAAATTGTTTTAAATATAATTTTATACTTTTGAAAAGGTATGACAGTACCTGGTAACCATTTTTAAAAACAAAAAATTGTCTAAATACTTTGTTTCAATCGATTTAAAGGTGAACATACTTGAAATTGATCATCTTGTTTTTCATTTTTTTCTAGCAATTGATTGTGTTTGTCGCAGCTAAGAGCATAGTCAAACTTGTTGTTGACAGACAAATCTGGCATTACTCAAGTGCAGTATTACTAATCATGTTGTCAGTCTAATATTGGTGATCTACTGCTTTATATTCTCAATCTTTAGTTTTTCTCTGTTTGAAACTGTGTACACGCACTTTGTGTTTACAGTTTTTACTGTTGATTCTCTTTCAGCTTTTCAGTTTGCTAAAACTAGTTTTTGAAAACTAGGACAGAAAATGCAATTAACTTTTGTAGGGATTAGCAAGATTGAACCGGTCGCAGCATTGTTGTTTTTGCCACCATCATTAGCGTCACCATCTCCGGTCTTAATAAAATGACTTTTTTTAAAACGTAACTTTATTTTTTTAGTGCATACTTTTTTGTTTTTAATTTTTTACAATAAAATTAATCATTAATTAAGTTTTTTATTTAACAATTAGCAAAAATTATATCTCTTGGGTCTACAGTGCAAGCCATTAGAAAGTTATATATATTTTAAAAACAACTTTAATAATCATTATTTTTTATATTTACTCAATTTTTTCTTGCGTATTGCTTATCCAAAAAAATGCCTGCTTTTTATACTTCTGAAAAGTGAAGAATACTCTTGTTATTATTAAGTTGTTAAATCTCAATTGTCTTGCAATAAATGCTTTAGCAGTAAAATAATTGTGTCGTAATACTTTTGAGTTTCACTTGTATTATTTTTATATTTTACCTTCACAAAGTTGACAATTAGCTTAGTTTGTTAGATAAGTGTGTTTTTAAAAGTATTAATTTTGCAATGCGTTATTAATGGCATTGCAGTCACAAAAAAAAGATTTAACTGACGAGAAAAATAATTGACAATTTTTTGTCATTTTTTGCATTGTATTATGTGCTACATTGACTCGTCACAACTATTGATAAGAATTGTCAAAAACGACATTCATACCTGTTCTTCTCGGTTTATATCAGCAAAATAAGCACTGGAACAATCGGCTTAGACGTTTTTTACTAAAGCATTTTTTTCTAAATTGTACAAAGTTTTTCAAAATATCATCAAGTTAGATGACAAAAACTAATTAGTTTGTTTGAGCAAGTGCAACTCACAAACAAAATCATTGACAACTCAAACTTAATTCAAGAACATTCACACTTCAGGTTGTTTTGTACTGTCACTAGCAGAAACTATTGCAAAAAGAGTGCTGTAAGATTTTTAACTTTTGCTAAAAACAATGTGCTTTTCTTTTTTCAGTTTTTTCAGGCTGTCACTGACATTTTTTAACAAAAAAAGTCTGGTGCAACTGTCTAAATCAGAAAATGACAGTAGTGCAAAAAAATAGCTTACTAATGTTTACACGGAAGAGACAAAACCACTTGAATGAGCGGAAAATAATTGAGAAAAAGTAGAAAAAGAAAAAACTATCAATCGTTGACAAGAAGTAGTTCTACTACACGTGTGTAAATAAGTTTTTTACTACCGTTTTCTGATTATTTGATAGATTGGCTTTTAACTAAAGTCAATTTAGCAAAGCAGTACCGTTGCAGTATAAAATGCATTAATGGCTTTTTTAACCATTACCGTTTTATTTGCTTTCACCTTTATTTTTTATCCTAACACACCTTATATCATTGTTTATTTCTTTGTTTTTGACAAATTTTACGCACTATTTTTTACTTTTATTTAGTTTTTATTTTAAAATGAAGCCTTTTTGCAAGTGTTTTATTTAAAAAACAAAAATATTTTAAATTTTAAACGTTGAAATAATTTAAAATTGCAATTTTTAGCAATCAATTTTTTAATAAAAACGCATACAGTTGTTTGTTTTGCGTAAATTTTCAAAAACTATACTTAGTATTTGTAATTTTAATTTTATTTAGTTGTTTTTTGTAGTAAACATTGATATTTAGTTTTATTACAAAATTGATCAGAAACGGGTTCGATTTTGTAACTCAAATGTATAAACTATTTTAAAAACTTTAGCAAACTTTTCTTAAAATTTAATATAAAATAAAAACGTTTAATAATTTATGCATTTTTAATGTTTTTAGTTTATAAATAAGTTTGTTTTCCCTCATAAAGCTGCAGAAGCAGAAAGAATCGTCCTGAATGTAAACTTCACTGTAATAGTTTTTTAGGCAAACATAACTAAAAGCTAAATCTATTTTTAATTTTAACTTTGTCGGTCAACAACACAATTTAGCCTGTACAAACACACAGACTAAAATTTGCCAAATTAAAAAACGTTAAGTAATATTTGGCAAAGTAAATAAGCTTCCCCTTCTCCCGCACTCACAGTTCAATAAATAAATTTAAATAAATGAGCGTAGTTTGGAGCACCTACCTTGTTGCGTCTAATGTTGATGATCTTGTGCGAGTAATGGTTGTGCTGGTGATTCTGTTGATGATGAGGGTGATGGGAGTGCTGGTGGTGCTGGTTGTGCTGGTGAGCAGCCTTGATACTGCTGCTGTTTGAGCTGCCACCCGAGGAAGCCTTGCGCTTGACGGTGGCGAAATTACCCGAAGACGATGGCAGCAGTACTTCGGCGGCGGAGGCAGTGTTTCCACCGGTCTGCGCCACAAATCGATAGTTTACAGAAGCAGTGGTGCACTTGGCTTTGCCCAGACAGTGCCCGTTTGAGACGGCGGTGGTTGACTTGGCGAATTGCTTCTCTTTTCCTCTACTGCCGTTTCTCCCCATTGGCTCATTAATCTTTGGTGGTGAAGACGCTTCTTTGGGTGGTGTTTGTGCGTCACCTGTTTTTTTGGGTGCAAAACAAGTGAGTTGTTAGTTTTGATGATGATGATGATGATGTTTTGTTCATGCTAAGTTTTTCCCCCAGTTGACCGCAACTTTATTATTGGCACCTTTAATATCCTACCACTGAACATTTCCTTATATTCAAGTGAACTTACCCATGTGACACTTCTCTCCATCAATAGTTTTACCACTGTAGTTTTCCTTAACATCATTATCGTACGTATTAGTCAGTGGATGGGCAGCAGCTATGTTCTCGGTTGACTGTCTTTCCGGGCGCTTTTTGGCTGAAAACAAAACAACAAGGTCAAAGGAACAATTTCTAAACAAGTTTGTTTTTAAACTCACTTTGTGATTTTGGTTGCTGCTCGTTATTGTGCTGCTGCTGATTAAGCTCCGCACCCTCACCGCTATTGGGCACCACCAGTAAGAGGCGGCTCTTATCACTCTTAGTGCACAACTTGCTGCTGACGCTCTTTCGTAGGCTGCTGTTTTTGGTAGTGGCGCTGTGATGATGGGCATTGGCCGTGTGCCCACCACCACCACCACCACCGCCACCGCCCTCTGCAAAGAGGTCACTCTGTTCCGGCGAGCGAAGACTGTTGCCACTGCCGCCGTAGCAGGTGGACTGACTGAGCAGCTGTCCGGGCATGCGGTAGCGCAACAGGCGGCAGCCCATTGCCGAGTAGACCACGCTGAGGATGGCCATCGGCAGGGCGAAGGTGACGGTGAAGATGAAGCCGGTGTAGATCTGCCCCTCCATCGACTCGGGCAGCCACCGCTCGCCGCAGGTGTTGTAGGTGACGCCCGTCTTGAAGACGAAGCTGCCCGTCTTGCTCACCCAGACCTGCGTCAGGCCGATGGTGATGCCGAAGACCCAGATGACAAGCACTATCAGCGCCCGGTGCGCCTTGAACCAGGAGATGGACCGCTGCAGCGGGTGCATGATGGCAAAGTACCTGCGGAGAATCGATACAAGGTGTGTTATTAAGTGTAATGAGTGGTGGACTAAGTAAGTGGTCAGCCTATGAACAACAACAACAACAACAACCTAACAAATTGAGGGTAATTATTATTGGTAATACGGTAAATGCGGTCTAATAGTCGCTTTAAGTTATGGAAAGAAGTGCTAATGATGATGATGATACCCGCAACAGCACAAACATAACCGTAAATCAACGGCTTTTAGGGCGGCTAATAAAAACAATGTGAAGTTTTTTTTCTTTATTATACTTGGCACTCATCAATCAATAATGTGGTGTGTGTGCAAATAGAGTAATATATTCAAGTTTATACCTTGCCTGCTAATAGTCAAACTGAACTTTTTAAATGTTATCGTGCATAAAATGGTAATTATAATATCCTTTCCAATTTTAATGAAGGCGCCATCTGGAACTGGCGTTCTTTTTGTGGTCTGTGCGCCTTGCTGCACAAAAACTGCTGATCTGTTGTTTTTGATTTTTGATTGCAGTTTTCCCTTTATGAAAAAACACAAGTTATCCAGTATTTGAAAACGTTTCATTTTGCAATTAACTTTTTTTGCAGTTTAGCTATACTTTTTATAGCTTTAATTAAAGTTGCCTTCCATTTGGTTTACCCTTGAAGTTGGAGGGCTATTCATTTCCTCTTCTGTGTCCAACTCAATTGTCAATATTTCTTATTTGCTTTCCAGACCCACTGACTTTTAGTGCATAGTTTTCTTTCTACTATTCATCAAATTGTCAGTATTCTCGTGTTTTTTCTTTTCTATTCAAAATTATCTTTGTAGTGCAATTTTTTCTTGCCCGCGGTTTTAGTTGATACACAGTTAACTACAAGTTATATTTGTAAAGACTCTTCTGCGATTCTCTGTCACTTTCAATTGCACCTAAGTGCAAGCAAATCATAATAAAAAGCAACCATGCTAAAATTGACGTGTTAATTGAATTTTTTCCTAGAAGTAGAGGTGCTTGTTTGTTCCGAAGAAACTCTGCCCTAGGGCCACAACATTGTGATGATTTTTTCCCTTTTTAGTTTTCTGTTTTTCCCTCCCACACACAAAACGTTTTTCAGCTAATGGCGTTTGAACTCGATTTAGACCCAGAACAACAAAAAAGCAAACGCGACAAACGATTAGACTGGCACAAAAGTGCACTTTGATTTTTGTTGCTTTTTCCTCACTTGAGTGTCACTTGAGTGCTAATGATATGTGTTCACACTGTTCCGGTGATGACTGTCTGTCATGTGAAATATCCCTTTTTGCTGCACTTCACGGCTGTATGCATGAAAAGCAGACGTGTCTGCAGTTGTTTTTCTATTTATAGTCAATTTGATTGTGTCTGGTGTATGCACTCATACTGTTAGCCGTTCCACCTACCCAAGTAATTGGGTAGCCTAATTGGAGGAAGGAAGAACACTGCACACTACACTAGATTATCTGCAGCAGGGCAAAACAATATAATCAAAATGCTTTTCTTGTTTTGGATTTTTTCTGAATAACTTGCCTAATTTATGATTTGGAAAACTAACCATATATCTGTAAAAGATCTAATTATAAATATTTTTAAACTTCTTAGTTTTGGAAATAAGCAGTTTGTCGCTAAAATTTAGACTTTTTGTACTTATACTGCAAATCAATTTATTACGATTCTCACATTGACTCAAAGTTTACACAAAAACTGGTTTTTCAGAGAATTATTGATAACGTCTTGACATTTGAGAATAATGCGAATGCCATTTGGAAAAAAACTATAAGCAGTTGCACTAACTTTCTCAAACAAAAGAAAATTTTTCACAAACTTATTACAAAGATGATCAATAACATTTGTTTTTCAGCTCTAAGCCAAAGGCTATCTTTTTGTTTCAAAAACCTTATACTTCAAAGCTATCTTTGTTTGTGTCATTAGTGCAATTTTCTTTTTCCTCAAAAAATAGCAACTGGATAGCTAACATTCTACCTCAAAAGTTTTCATGTTCAAAAAAAATATAACAAAACAAAAACTGAAAAATTAGTTTTCTCCTTCCCTTCTACTCACCGATCAATGGCAATGGCCACCAAAGTAAAGACACTGACGGTGATGGTGGTCAGCTGGGCCATGTTCACGATGGGGCACATGATGGGCCAGAAAATCCACCGACCAAACATGTAGTTGGTGTAGGTGAAGGGAATGGTCGTGAAGGACATTAACAGGTCGGCCACGGAGAGGTTGATGAGAAACTTGCGCAGATCGCGGGTGCATCGGCGGCCCTTGATCAGCACCACAATGGTGACCAGATTGGAGGCAAAGGCGCACAGGGCAGTCAACGAGTACAGTGACACAAAGAACACCTGAAACAAACAAAAAGTTTAGTTGGTTTGTAAAATTAAAAAAGTCAAATTATTGTGTGAACCTGTGAGGCAAACCCCAGCGTTTCAAGTTCTGCAGTTGAGTTTTTGCTGTGATCCATGATGGTTTGATGGTGTGAAGTGAGTCAAACTCACAAAATGTTCGCTTTTGATAGTCAAAAGGCACAATCAAATTGTTCTAATTTGTCTTTTCTGTTGAGTCGTTTTCATCCTTTTAGCGTTTTCCTTGTCCAAACGAGTATACTGCAATAAAAAACAAATTTTCAATTGGATTAGCAATGTTACTTGGTTGTAGAAAAACAAAAAAGTGCACGCATTTCAAAGTGCGTACAATATCATTTTTGACAGTGGGACAAAACTGTCAACTAATCTCCATAGTCAAACTAGATTTGCCATTTGCCGGTTAAAATCGTTGCTTGTTTGCTAACTTGACTACAAATTGCATTTGCCATATGGGATTTTTAGGGAAAAAAATTTCAAACTGTGCGGCAAAAAACTGTTGACAAGAATTCTCCATGAGAATGCTTGCATCAAATAAAGTTCATTTCTAATGAGATTGCCGAACCGTGGATGAGTTTTTCTGGTGCCCTTGTGTTTACTCAGTTTCCAAGAATCTAAGCTTCATTTTCTCTCTGTGTGTGCTAGCTGTGATGGAAAACTGGTGATGTCTTTGAAAGTGTTTTAGCGAGAGATTCTTTTTTCTCTTGGTTAATCATAAGTAACAGCCAGCAGTGCGTCAGATGATTCATCCGGGTCTCACTTTCCATTTTTTGGCGTTCTGGTTTTTCTCTAATAACCAGTGCTCCCTAAAGTGACGATTTACGAGGAAGACCAAACCAATGAAAAGAGAAGAGATGATTTAGCTAGTCAATCTCCGCTCATGGACCGTAGTTAGGTCTAATTGGCAGTGTGGCCTCATTTGTTTGCCAAACTAATGTTTTGTCATATTATTCTGCTCTCGCTTTCTCTGCATAATAATAATCAGATTCACGTTAGAACTGTTTATGTTGTCTTCAGCTCATTTTACTACAGCATTTCTTATGTAATCGTTTTCCCCGGTAACGCTGAGAATAGTTTTCAAGGACTACTGTCTCAGGACTACCGCTGCTCATTATTCTTCAATTTTTATTCTTTTGTATTTTTTTGCGGTTTTCAGCCAAAGCCCTGGGCACAGTCAATGCGCGGTGATTTATTATGTAGCGTTTCTAATTGAATTATTCATTTCTGGTGTTTGCAGAAACATTACTTTTCAGTCTGTTTAATGACAGTTCATTTTCTATAGAAAAATGAGTAAGTTTACTTTTTATAAAGTAAGCTTACTTTTTGTGCCTAATAATAGATGGACAGATTTTTATAGCTTTAAGTTTTAACAATGCTAATAGTTTTCCTGCTAGCTTTCTAAAGATAAATTATAGACTCATGTAGGCTATTACTTCAAACGCCTACCGATCATTTTTTTTGCTTAGTGATTTTAACTAAAAGCTCAATTTAGATTTACGATACTTTTTCAAACAACTAAAAACAAAAAAACATGACAAAACTTTTTTAATTGTTTCGAATAAAAAATGAAGAAGCAAAATTAATTTTAACCATGCCTATCTTTTGTGCAGTAGTACAAAAAAGTTAACCTTTTTGTGTTTAATCATGCCAATCATGATTAATTACTGCCTTTTTATTACAAAAAAAGAAAAGCAAAAAACAAAATTAGTTTTTCATCTTTTTTTTCATACAAAATGACGTCAAAATAGAAAGCATAACACATTTGGAGCAACCTTTCCATTGGAAGTGACAAAAAAATCACGGCAGGCTAGCAAACTTTCAGATGTGCAGACAAAAAAACATTGTGAAAATAAAAGCAGATTCAAAGTAGTAAAAGTGTGTGTGCCAGACCGGTTAATCAAAACAGATCACACTAATGAAACAAAGCGCTAATTAAAACAAATTGCACTGCTGACAATTGAACAAAAAAAGTTGAAAAAATCAGGAAATGGCCTGCGGTGAAAAAGCACTGCTTGACAAAGAGCAATGAAGCTTTTACTGAACAGTTCATGAATGTCAGCACAGTTTGACAAATCAAATATTGCCATCGAGTAACAAAGTTATTTGCAAGATTTACACTTCACTGCTAGTGCTAAAAATAAAAACTAATAACTGCACTGTTTCACTTTATTGATGATAAAAAAATGTGCATCACTAAGGTGATGAAATGAAATATACATTTTTTTAGATGTTTTTGCACTCATCGTTTTCATGAATGAAAAATAAAATTAATGAACGCGGTTCTATCCGGTTTTCTGTTGAACTGGGTGTGAATGCGGAAACTCAAATTAATGTAGTACAAATGAATAGATAAATTGAGAAATCACATTTTTGTTCCATCACTTCGCACGCAATTGTTTGTGCCTTGGCAACCGTAAGTTTTTCACTGTACTGTTTTCACTTATTGGCACGTTTTCTAATCATTTTCTTTTTGCTTGAAAAATGTGGCCCAAAAATGCTTGTTTTTTACTTTTTCTGCATAAAAAAAGTGTTTTGTGTTTGCTGTGCCCTTCTTATAATTGGTAGTGGCCCTGTCGCTCTTAAATTTTATTTTTTTCAACCGTGTTTTATCATTTAAATGAAAAATTTTACAATTTGCTTCCAGAAAATGAAATTAACTTTTTGCATCTTGCACTAAAAAATATTCAACACACGGTGAACTAATTAATTCTGATCTCCCTTCAAGAAAATCATCAATAATATTTTTCTAGTTTTGTACTTTTGAATTGCTACAAAAATGATTTTGTTTTCTAATATCAAACGCACACGCTGTTTTGTTTTGATAAAAGGTTTTAAAGTTTAAGCAAACAAAAATATAATTTGCTAAATTTTAAGCAGGTGATGCAGCACTTACAGAAATTTGAATATGTAAAATAGTAAAAGAGAAGTGCACCAAAAGGTGATACCGGTAGACATCTAAACAGTATTCAACTTGCTTATAAAATTTTCCACCCTGCCATTTTTATTTCAATTATTATCATTCAGAATAAAACAGGCATTCTGAATGGCCGGAAAGCAAAAGTTAACCTAACAACACTTTGACTATTCTATTGCTTGATCATAAATAAAACAACCTTTTTTTTGTACCAAAAACAAACCCGAAAAAAGTTTTGATTTGATTGTCAACAACAGGAAACTCAGACCCACGTACACAAAAGAAAAGAAGTTGCGGTGTCGACGTGCATCTCCTACCTAATCACCTCAATGGTGTCTGACGCCGTCTAGACACAGACACATTCGTCATAGCCCTTATTATCGAAAGTGCCTATTCTTATTACTTTCCCAATCTTTGTTTGCAAATGATGAAAATATGAAATGTGTGGCCACAAAGAAAGCCAATTTGTCAAAAACGTAAAAAGTGAGGTACTTGGCATTTTGTGAATGTAATTAGAGAAATATCAAAAGATTTTCTCAAATTACTACCTGACCACAAGATAGTATTTGTCAGCTATTTTTTAGAAAAAAATGCAATAATAAATTTATTTATTGTAAAAACAAAAACGCTTGTGCAAAAGTTCATTTCATCCGACAACAACTTGTTTAAAAAAACAAAAAATACAGAAACTTGACTTTAGTTGCAAAAATACATAAAACCAACTGAGTTTTTATTATAAATTACATTACAAAAAAATACTCAAACTGACCTAAACCATCATATTAAATTAAATATCCTGTCTGGAGCAACATCCGCACACAAAAGTGCTACAATGAAGAACTACTTTTTAAAGAGGATTATTTTCAGTAATCACTTATACAAACTTGGCACAAATACGAGCATGGTCAATACCGTTTTTGCTCAACATTTCATCAGTATTCAATTTGCCAACTAAAAGATTATAGAGAAATTTTGTAAAAAAATTGAACAGTTATTTCATTTCCCCGACAACCAAATAACCAAATAACAGTCTAGTCTGGTTTGGTCTGGTCAAATTAAAGTGAAATTCTTTGTCTGTTTGCATCAATTTTTTGCTGCTTAAAATAAGCTAAAAGTAGAGATTCGGAAGCAAATGTTGAAACAAACAACAACACTATCTAATATTCTATTACATAATTTTGTATAATTAAGTTATTACAATGCTGTTTTAATGAAAATTTTCTTTGATGAGACACGCAATATTACATGAAGAATGTTTTATTGTTTCGTGCATTGTCTGTACTGTGGTAATAAAATAAAGGAGACTTACAATAAAAGGCAATTGATGAGATTCGGCTTCAAATTTGAGCTTTTTCAGAGCACAGCAAAATACAAAAATAATAGATGCGAAGAAAATGTCAAAGAGATAACAAAAATAGTTGAACCGTTTTAACAAGAAAACAAGCGTAAAAATAAAAATCTTATGATTATTATGGCGTAAATGTGGTGTTGATTTTTTAAATTGGGTGTTGTTCAACAGGGAGGAAATTCTCGTTACGCCAAAAATGCGTAGGAATAAGCAATAAAATCACAATAACAAAATCATAGTACACACAAAGAGAAAATCACTCAATCAGACAGGTGGCAAGCTTCAAAAGTGGAAAAATTACTATTTTTTCCTCTTTCATGCTATTGCCAGTAATGGAACAAGCGGAGAAGATTTGCTCGTTCAAGCTGAAAAAGAAAAAAGGTCAAATCAGAATCACAAATTAAAGCAAAGCAAAGCTTTTGCCTTTCTCATCAAATTGAATTTGAAAGTTATTATTCAATTGATAAAGATGAAAAAGAAGAAAAATGGTGAGTGGGAGAAAACAGGTGATCACAGGTTGGAAGCAGTTGCAGTTGGCTTGCCTTGCGTAATGATTTCATGCCACCGCTACTGCTGCTGCTGATGTTGTAGTTCAATGGAATCAGTTGTTGAATTGAGGCGCTCAATTAGTTTGGATGTGAAGGTAAAAAAATAAAGTTGCTCTAGTTTCGCGGAAGGCGGCAGCGGCTGCGGCGGCGGCGGCTCGTCCACACGCTCTGGCGTCTAGGCGAACACTGAACACAGTTCTCTGAGAGATTTTCAGTTCTGGTTTTGGCTCTACTGAAATGAGAGTTGTCTGTTTGGGTGCTTGCGGTGTATGTGGTTGTCTTTCTCTCTCT